GACCTCTGTTAGATTAAATGACCTTGAGGTCTCACACTGTTTGCAGTTAAATTCTCTGTTGTCTGAGCCATTACTGGCAATGCAAATCAGTGTCTCCCATCAGCTAAGGTTCCTATTCACTTTACATGACGCATGAAATAAGCTGATGCGTAGCGAATAGAAGTTTTCACAGCAGGGAGAATGTTCAAAGCATCTAAGGAAGGAAGGGAGGGAGCATGTATTTAAAGCTATGCTGTCAACTAGGGAATTCAGTTCCTTAAAAATCCACAAGGAGCTTATGTGTGTCTGTAGGTGTCTGAATACCTTTCAAGAAATGCACCCAGCACCAAATATTGTGATATCAACGGTAAATAAGTCTGGGTTGAAGCCTGGGTTCTATTTCCATTTGTATTCCTATTTCTGTGACTAGCTATGTGACTCTTACTGAGTCTCTTTGTGCCCCAACCTTCTCACTTCGAATATTTATATAAGCTGCTAAAATAAAATGAAGTGTCTGTACACGAACTGTTTTCTCTCCAGCTCTAGGCTTTGATCTGGTCACCTACTCATGAAGATCCTACGTGCCTTAGACTGTGGCGTGAGGTTTCGCTGAATTTTGATGAGCTTTGAGATACTTGAATGGAAGGCGATATTAATATATTAATATCAATATAATATATATGAAAGGCATAATTAATATAATTTATATTAATATACAAAAAGTCTCCTTTGAGAAGTGCCTTAATGACAAGCATTCCCTTCTGTGAGTCTTCCTAGAAGGCAAGAGTCATAAAGGAATACAAATACCTGTGTATTAGCACAGGTAAAGCATGAATCTGGCCTGTCAGGGGCTATCAGGCAATCATCATTTCTAGTCATTGGATACAAATGAGTGTCTCTTAAAACAACACATTAACAGTCTAAAACAAGTCATTAAGGATTACCGCACACCACCAAAACATTGCCATTTATAACACACCTATTATCAATGCCCTTCTCCATTGCAGCTTCTAATTATCTGAGTTTGACACTGATTAAGTGCATTTATGGCTTAGAAACTGAAATAAGGCAGTATGTTAGAGGAAGATAACACAACTTACCCCGGTAAAACCGTAGTGGGTTTTTTAGACCTAAATTTGTCCTTTGAATACTGGTTTGAATAATGCCTGTCATTTTTATTTTACTGATGGCTTTTGCCTTCTTTTTGAGGCCATCTGAAACATTTCCTCCTGGAGTTCCAGCACAGATGACTGTTACCTACTATTACCTTTATTCAGATTAATTCCTTAATCTTTTTCCCCTTGTATTTCATATACTCAAGCCATAGAACATAGGAAAGAAACACGGTTTGGAGAGAACTCAGTCTTATTTTTAGTCCTCTGTAAAGGTCAGGAGTTTTGTCTTTATTTCTATATTAAATGCATTTGGTTTCTTTTTTTAAAGGGAGCCATATTAAGTGCTGTCTTATTTACAGCATCACTGCTTGCAATATCCCAGTGACGTGGGGTATTCAGATTCATCTGAGATGGAGATGCACTTTTCTTTATAGACTAAGGACAGATTATGTTATAGTGCTGGGCTTTGAGACTTTAAACCTAATTTGCCTCCTCAAGGACTGTGAGCAAGCTGGAAGCTCACTGGGTATGAATGACTTCCACATACAAATGACGAGCTAACATTTTTGTTATTGAAACCACATTACACAACTGCTACCTTTATGCAGATTCCTTCAATATTCTTGATTATATTTCTGGGCATTAGGAAGACAGCTCTCGTCAGACTTTGCGAATAAACTGATTGAGGTTAAAGCAGCTGTTTGTTTCTTGCCAACGGGCAATCATAATGTCTTTTACGTAAAACAGAGCCAAACAGATACAGCTTAGTTGTTCCTTTGCTCTTCCTACTTTACCCTCACTTGATATGGTAAATGTGTACAGGTGATTTATCATTTTCAACACAATGAGTTGTGGCGTTGGAAGGGATGGTGGTACCTGCGGTACAACTTCATAGATCCATCCTGGAAAAATGTGGATCCTATTTTCATGATATTTTCTAAAGAAGGTGAGAAGAAGTACACAAAATGCATGATCATATAAGAGAATAATTTCCCAAGAGTATCAGTAGGATCTTTTGTTCTACACATCTCCTTTAATGTAAGTACAGTCCTTGAAAGCAAGCAGGTGCCAGCAGAATCCTGGGTCTCAAGGGAAGGGGAAAGCAAGAGAAAGAACAGATGATTTCTAAGGCAGAAAGAAATCACTGAGTTTAAGACAAGGTCAAAAGAAACCAGGCTTTCTTCCTACAAGATGCTGAACATTCATTTCCAGTGGTGTACCAACAGACCTCTTGTCAGCTGTGGACATATGCAGATGCTACTTTTGACCTTGGTGTGCAACACATGGAGATGTGTATCTGACAAGTCTCCACTAATCAGTCATTAGCCTGTGATCTCAGGCTGTGAAATTAAGTGTTCTCACAGGTTTAAAGGTTATTATTGAGAAGCAAATCTTGTGGCTCTTGTTTGTGCTTAGTAAGAAATAGTAAGGAAGTTGCGGATGGTTAAGTAGAGGAATGGGATGGCTGAGATCACCGGCTGGTGGAGAAGTGGATTAAAGGGAAACCAGCTTCACTCACTGTTTAAAAGAGAGGTGACAAATCTCCAGAGGCAAGTAGGAAGGAGATGTCTTCAGACATCTGCATCCACTCTTCATCTGTTCTTCATTCTACGGGAAGAGATGTGAGGACTACCAATCTAGTGTTGACTTTTGAATCGTGTTACAGTCTCATTTTGGAAACCAACTGCAGGGAGTAATACCAGATAATCAGGGCTGCTACTTAGCTCTCCTAAGGGTTTTGCATCCGTGGACGGCAAATCGCTTTAATTGGTGTCATTATCCACATTTCACAGGTGGAAAAGGTCACACAGAGAAATGTGGAGTAACCTGACAGAGGAGGCACAGAGACAGGAACCAAGCACAGCACCTTAATTCTTAAGACCGTGTTAAGTCATCGAGATGCCAAGAACTGCAGGAATTAGTTGCAGCGTTATTCAAAGAGCATGTGAAGGATGGGGTATAGCAGAAGATGCCTTCCACTGCCTTCAGTGAAGCTGAGATTTTACATGGGCATTGGGTGTGGTAGAAGCAGTAGCCTTTTATACCATACAAGCTGCACGTGTTAAACATGACTTTAGTTACGCTCCTCCAGGCAGTTCTAATCCTGAGAACCTATGATATGAAAACATCGGGCAGACAGATAATGGTGACTGTAGGATTAACAAACTCTACACAATGGGGAGAGGCAAAAATAGGAAAATAAATGTGGAATTAGAGAGTTTCGAAATTTTAAACAAACTGGAAGGTTTCGGACAGTGTTGCCTGAAAAGTGATGAAATACTCTGGAAGTGAAATCACAGAAGATAGTTGAATGGACAAAGCTATCAGTAAACGGGCCTGTTTAGCATGTTCTGCTTTGTCCTGTTTATACACAGTTTGAGGACAGAATGATGGAACACCGGCTGTTTTAGTCTGACTTACTACATATCCCTGGCCAGTAGATTTTATCCAGTTATACCTATGGTAAACCCAACCACTTCCATTGGGATGCAGTATATTTTCCACAAAGACATCTTGGTTGGAGATTTCCAGAGAATAAAGCACACCTTCCCTCCGTCATTTGTGCCAAAGATCACTGGCTCCCATTGATAACAGTTATAGTTTGAATTTCTCCAACTTCAGCTTCTAGACATTGACTCTATATTATTCTTTTCCTTTACAAAATTAAAGGACCTTTTAACTCCTGGTGTTTTCCCTATGAAGATATGTACATGCTGTTAGCAAACTGCACCTCCTTTGTAGTATGGTGAGCAGTCTGACTTCTTGTTATAGAATCCTCCAACCAGCTCTATGGCTTGATGCTTCACTCTCACATCTTTTTCAGTGTGCTCCTCCTGTGTGCGCCAGCTGTGTAGCCAGCATCCCATGGGCAGCCTGGACACTGCAGCACAGGGAAGATAAAATGAACTGCTCGTCCCTCCTTTCCTTCTCACACTTTACAAAGACATTGGGCAACCAGTTGTTCATGTGCCCAGCTTGTGCTTTGTTTATGTCTTTTTTAATCCAAGACAAACCGAATGATTTCATTCACTCAGCATTCTCCTGGAGGAGCTGCAGCGTCCTGGCCTGTATCAGCACCAGTGCGGCAGCAGGGCCAGGCAGTGGTTGTGCCCCTGCACTGGGCACTGGTGAGGATGCACCTTGAATCCTGTGTTCAGTTCTGGGCCCCTCACTACAAGAGAGACATTGAGGTGCTGGAGCGGGGCCAGAGAAGGGAATGGAGCTGGTGCAGGGCCTGGAGCACAGGGGTGATGGGGAACGGCTGAGGGACCTGGGGGTTCAGTCTGGAGAAGAGAAGGCTCGGGGGGGACCTGATTTCTCCCTACAAGTGGCTGACAGGAGGATGGAGCCAGGAGGGGCTGGGCTCTGCTCCCAAGGGATGGGACAAGAGGAAACGGCCTCAAGCTGCACCAGGGCAGGTTTAGATGGAGCTGAGGAACAATTCCTGCCCCAGAGGGTGCTCAGGCATTGGAACAGGCTGCCCAGGGCAGGGCTGCAGTCACCGTCCCTGCAAGTGTTCACACAGCGTGGAGGGGAGGCCTCAGTGCCACGGGTTAGGGGTGGCCTCGGCGGTGTCTGGTTGACGGCTGGATTTGAAGATCCTGAAGGTTTTTCCCACCTATGTGATCTGAGATTTACCAAGTCTGCTCAGCACGGAGGGGAGTCCTCACTGCGGCTGGGTCCCACACCCCATCACCCACGGGTCCATGAAGCCCCCAGCACACAACCGACCCCCGGCTGCTGGGGACACAGGGACTGCCGGCTGGGGGGGAGCGCGGCGCAGACAGAAGGGGGGACCGGTGCCAGGCGGGTGATGGCCGCGGGGCTGCCCCGGGCTGGGCGGGCTGTGGAGGGGGTGTGACCGCCGGGGTGGCCGCTCCGCAGCGCCGCCTCCCCGCCCGCTCACTGCCCCGGCAGCCGGGAGGCGGCGCGGAGGTTCCGCGCCTGCGGTGGGGCGCGGTGCGGGCAGCCCCCGAGCCCAGCCCCGAGCGATGCCGGCCGCCGCGCCACCGCCGCTGCACCCCGCCGCGGGCTCCTGCTGCCCCTATGGCCACTGCGCGGGTAAGTGCCGGTCCCTCGGTACCCCCATCCCTAAACGGGGTCTCGTTGGGATCGAAGGGGGGTGTGAGGCGGCTCCATCGAAACTTCCTTCCCCCCCCGTCCTTGAGTGTGTGTGGGTCTGGTGGCGTTTGGGCTTGAGATGCGGGTGGGGAGAGACGGGGAAAGGAGCGGTTCCCGGTGGGAGAGGGGTTTGGGAGGCTCGGTCGGGCTGCCTGTGCTCCTTCCCACCTCGGCAGCCCTGCGAGGTACGAGAGAGCAAGCTGTGAAGCCTGAGGGTGCAGGAGGTGTTTGTTACTCCGAACGGCAGGCTCAGTGTCCCTTCCGATATCGGTTGAAGGTTAGAAGTAACTTGCGCTCTTAGTGTAGTCTGTGCGAGCGTGGATCGCTTGGAACGGATGCTCGTGTGCTGCTCGGAGAGCACCGATGCTCTGCAAAGAAAGTAAACGGCACCCGGTGTAAGGAGCTTGAGTTGCAGAGCCGTGTGTTAAACGCACTTAAAAGGGGGTGAATTTTCCTTCAGCTCGGAAATTGCTGCAGCTGGAGCTACGCGGGGTACGGGCTGGGACGCAGGGTCCCATGAGGATGCTGGCAGCCAAACCTCTCTGTGGGAAAATGCTGGTTGTGCCCTTGTATCTCCTGACTTTTGTAGTTAGGCTGCTCATGTTTGCTCCTGTTTAATAGCTGGTACTTATAGGAAAGCTGTGCCCTAACTTTTCGCTGCACAGCGTTATTTCCTGCCTTCCTTAGGGGACATTCAGTGCACAGCGTCAAGGGAACTGGACAGGCAACTGGGGGTGGTTTTCAGGTTGTCAGACACTGTTTGGACACCCCAAACTGAAACTTCTGTACTGAAAGGTTTCCTTTTAAAGCAAACCAACCAACCAACCCTTTGCAACAGTATGACAAAACTCTGCCTTCCTTCCTTCCTGGGCATTTGCATTGCAACCTGTGTTGTGTGAGGCGATAAAGAGTTTATTGCCAAGCCTTGCAGTGAATCATGCATGCTTTTACTGCTAGCTTTATGCAGAAATAGAAATCTACATCTATGCTTGTTTGCATGCAAGTTTGTCTTCCCACCTGCTGGTCTCCTTTCCCCATAGCCACCCTCTTTCCTCTTGACGCCTCTTGGGTGCTTGTTGTATTTTTTATATGGTCTAAATGCAGTTCTGATTCTTCGAAGCGTTGAGAATCAGCAGAGTCCCAAAACAGCCAGCAAGTGAAACCGAGCTTACAAAACATATTACAGCTACGTGGTGTGGTAGGAGTGCAGTTATTATAGCAACTCCGTCATGCTCTTCTCAGGAGGTGGCTGAGTTTTGTGTCTCAGGGAGGCATCCTGCAGCTCTCTGGATAAAAAGGATATTGCAGGCTTAGAGTCTCTTTCTTGTAGGGTAATGGGTGTGGTGAAAGGGCATGGATGGCCCTTGCCGTGAGCATTTGGGTGAGATGTTAGGACACATCAGCTGGGAACTGCTTCTAGGAAATCTCATCTGTGGTTCGTTAACCTGAATTGGTTAATTGGACTGTAACTGTCAGCAAAGATAAACTTGGTTTTAATTCAAGATACTGGCAGCAGTTCAAGCCTGTGAATTTCAGCTGGGCTAAACTTACCTTGTCTTTATTGTGGGGGTTTCTTTTGAGGGGGAATTTATACTCAAGTTAGTTACCTGGGGCGTGCTAACCCGAGTTGTGGCTGTATCTTTACCTGGTAGTGTCACTGTGTGCTTTGTATCTGTCTGCACTGCTGCTTTTTCTGTTCCTGTTCTGCAGAGCGTCACAGCTTTGGCATCTGTGGGACTTGGAGCATGTGGTGACGAAGGGAAGTTGTGTGGGATTCATTTCCCCATTTCTGAGATTGCTTGGCTTAGTTTGTTTTTTTTCTTGCAGAAATATCTATAGTTGTGTAGAGATCAGGGAAGCCGGTGGTCCTTCCTTCTCTTCCCGCAGCTCCAGGGTGAATTGGGTTGGTTTCTGTCGCTGCTTTTCCTCCTTTCCTTTGACTCGATTCCTGACCATTTAACAACACTGGGAATCGGAGTTATATGGATTTTCTTGTCAATATAGTCAGCATCAGAACATTATGGTGGCTTTAGCAGCCTCTGTTAAATCAGATCCAGGTCTCAGTGAAAGTAATGTGAATCTTTTAACTAGCTTCAGCGCAACTTGGTTCAGAGCTGAAAAAGTTGTAGTTGAAAGAGCTGAATGTGACACTTCACAGTATCCCCTTTTCCAGTTTTTCCTCATTTTCAGGGTATGGGGTCTCTCCTTTTGGAGCATGCAGTAGATACTGGAAGCAATGAAAAAAAGGAAAGGGAGCTACTGCCTTCATTGTCTTTAATGCAGATTTGGAGTTTTGGTAGTGCTTGCATATTGTCCATCTCGCCTAGCAGCAGTTTGTCTTCACCGCAAAGGAAAGCCAGGCTCCTTTGCCATCTTCCCTCCGTTCCTGGTGTGATTTGCTCAGTCTAATTGTTGTAAGAATGCAAAACAAGCATTTGTGTCAGATATTCTCAGCAGAAGCACTCGGCAATCATTCCGAGAACACCCTCTCCCACTCAATCAGTATTGCTAGCCTGCACATACACTCCAATTTTTCACTTGTCACCCCAAATAGTGTTGTTAATGGAGACGCTGAGAAGTGTCTGCTGATATGAAAATCCTGATCTTTGCGCTTGTCATCGTGCTTTTAAGCCTAATTAGCACTGGCTTAGAGTTTTCCCTGAGAAACCCATTCCCTTTTATAAGTTCCCCAAACCAAGTTATTTTGCGGTGTAGACTTTAATACATGAGTCTCTTCTGCAAAAGTGGTTCTGTAATAACGGGCTGGGAATTCTACATTTGCATCCGAGTTAACATCTCTTCAATGTACTAAATTTCCAAAGAAAACTTTGGGGTAATTGCCCCTTTTTTTTGCAAACCAGATGGAGAATCAGACTCTGGCTGGGTCTTGTCTTTAGTTATGCAACAAGTTTATTGGTAATGGAGGATCTGAAAGCCTAATTAAACCCTCAGTGACACCTCTGCAAGCTCTCTTATTTGCAGTGGGTTTGCTCAGTTGCAACTGATTAGTCATCAAGCTGAGATTTGGGAAGCGATGCAAATAAAATCTCCCACAAGAAGAAACAGAATCCTGCTCCTTTGACTGAGGCACCGTCGGCTAACGGGGTTAGAAAGCAGTGAAAGCTTACTTTGTGCTGAATCATGAATAATTGATCTAAAATGTATGGTGGGTCAGGAGGCAAGAGCATCAACGCGAAAGCATACACTGAGCCTCGAGAAACACATGGAGGATTTGCCAGATGGATCCTGGCAAATAGCATAGTTGTGTAAGATGTTTTTGACTCCCTTTGTCAGTTCTGCCCCTCTCCTGAAGGATTATTGATGGAAGGTCCTGGACTGACAAGCTCGCTTCCCTGGTTGCTGGGGCAGACCCTAAAGCTGTCAAGCTGCAGAAAGCAGGCATGGCTGTTCCCAACAAGACACACAGCCTGTCATCTTTGAGAGGAATGAAACAAATGAGCAGTTTCATAATACCCTTTTTTTGGTTTTATGCAGGGTAACAACTTAAAACTGAGCCTCACACCTCCAAAGGCACTGATTCATTTCACGTGCACTCTTACATTGCGCTTAGTCTTTACAGATTATGCAGCTGTATACTTCTTCAGAGGGCTTTCTTTATGCTCGCTTCTTGATTTGCTGCCCTTAAAATGTCAAAAGATAATGAAAGTGGGGTTCTGCTCTTAAAAAAAGCCCAGAAGAAGTAAAAACAATGACACTTGTGACTCATTGCAAGACTACATAAAAGCTTTACCTTCATCTGCTGCTCTGGGGGTGATCCAGCTCAGTTGAGCGCTGCCACATGGCAATAGCCATCTGTGTTTGCTGTAAATATTTGATTTTTTAATTACAAATGGCTTGATTTAGAAGACTTTAAACCATGCAGTGGGGTGGCTGTGGGCCCACAGGGGCGGGTGGGGAGCTCCTGAGAAGGTAGTTTTTGCCCAACCACTGTTGCCAGGTCAGAAAAGGGAGCGTAATGCTGAGAGAGCAAACCAGGCTGCCTTGCAGCAGTCTGGACGCTGCTGCTTCATCCATGGACATGAGAGTGCCAGGGAACGCTGCAGGGGGGCTCTGAACATGAAGCAAAGGAAAAGGGTTAAGAAAAGAGGCAAGGAAAAGCCAGGGTTTATCTTTGAGGAGAAAGAAGGAAAGGGGGCTGCTAAATGTCATTTATCCCTCATGGTTTTCATACAGTAAATAATGTCAAGCGTTGCTACATGGTGAGAGTCCTACACGTATCTCACTGCAGGATGGCACCCACTGTGGAGCTGGAGGTGACACAGAGGTGCAATACATCCTCAGGTGGAAAAATCCAGAGCTTATTGGTCCATAGTGGAGGATCCAGTGTGGGCATCCCATAGGCTCCTGCCCTCTGCTGAAGTCCAGCCAGTTTTCCACCCAGGCTGTCCCTCCTGCCAGTGCTGCTCATCTGCCTACCTTTCAGCTGCTCCGGTACTATTTGCTCTCTAAGATCTCCCATAAACTCAGAGGTCTGTGTCCCAAAACTGGCAGTGAAAAGGGAGCAAGAGAAATAGTCAGGGAGAAGAGAGTCAAGCCCCTTTTTCTTTCTTTCTGCAATGAAAGACTGGGGCACAATGGCAATGGGCAATTGTGGAACTTAAAGAATTTGGAGATCTCCAGTTTCCATGATAGAATGCATGTTCACTTTATTCTTAAAGTAAAAAGCAGGCATGTTGAAGATGCAGTGCATGATGCAAAGCTGTGAAGTCTCCTTGCCTGCCTTTGTGGGGGCAGGGAGTGAGTACAAAGGTGTGTATCTCTTGTACTCTAGAAGAAGCCACCAAGGCCATTTACTTTCCTCACAGCTGATGCTTTGGCACTCACTTAATGGGACCAGATGCCTTTGGCCAGGAGAAACTTTAGTCCCGTTGATGACCTGTGGGATAGAAGGAACGGACCTTGGCACACAGCTGAGTTTG